CACGGCTGGACGCCCTTCGTGCCGCGCCCCTCGGCGCTGCTGCTGGGGCCCCAGGCGTCGAGCAGTGGCGAAGCGTCCTGGTCTTACTTTAGCACATCGGGTCTACGTTCTAACAACATGGGTGTTGATTTTACAATTCTAATACTTTGGGGGGTGTTGATTTATATTCGTGGTAGGCCCGTAGGAATGCCGGGACGGTCGGTCCTTGCTCAACCAGGAGGTGCTGCAGCGGCTGTGCTCGGCCACGCCCGGCGGGCCGGAGCGTTCCAGTGGGCTGCCCGGGTGGGCGCTGCGACTGGCCCGCGAGGTGCTCGAGCAGCTGGGGGCCGGCCAGGGCTTGGCCGGGAGATGGCGCTGGATCTTCCCCGAGAAGGGCGGGTGCTGAGGAATAAAAGTGCCCTCCCCTCCTCCCCCTCCTCCTCCTCCTCCTCCTCCTCCTCCTCCTCCTCCTCCTCCTCCTCCTCCCTCCCCGCTCCTCGCTCCGCTCGCCCCCGCCCCCTCCTCGACTTTCTCTCTGGGCCTCCAATGGGGTCGGAGGATCGCCGACGCATCGCCGATGCATCGCCGATGCATCGGCGATCTGCGGCTCGATGTGGAGCCCGATTTTCTCCACGCCGATGTCGCAAGGGCATCGCCAACGTCGCTGATGCATCGGCGATGCATCGGCGATAAATCGGCGATGCGGTGCACTCCTCGGGCCACACCTGCTCGGAACCCGTCCAGGAGGCCTCTAGATGTCGACTACACTTGCCCATCGGTCCTTGAAGTAAGTATTTTTTGATTCCCATATTCCAGTCTACTTTAAGCGCCAGCCAGCCAGCCAGCAGTAGTCCTGCCAAGGAAGGTTGTGCTTCCGCAGGCTTTGGAGAGTGGGCGCCACCTTCTCACGCAGCACGACCGTCTGCGCAATCCGCGAGCCCTCCGGAAGCTGAGGCGGTCTGGAGGCTCTCCCGAGGGCGCCAAGACGTCCCCGGAGGGCCTCAGAAATCTCAGAATAATCTCGGACGGTGCAACAGGCAAGTCTGAGATTTTTATGAGATTTTCGAAGCTCTTTGTGGAGTCCTCTTGGAGTGATCTCGGGCCTTTCTTGGTGGAGTCTTCGGCTCCCCTGGGGCGGTCTGGAGGCTCTCCCCGGAGAGTTTCAGAGATCCCAGAAAAATCTCAGACGGTGCAACAGGCAAGTCTGAGATTTTTCTGAGATTTTCGAAGCCCTTCTGGGGCCCTCTTGGAGTGATCTCGGGCCTCCTTGGCGGAGTCTTCGGCTCTCCTGGGGCGGTCTGAAGGCTCTCCCGAGGGCGTCAAGACATCCCCGGAGAGCTTCAGAAATTTCAGAAAAAATCAGACGGTGCAACAGGCAAGTCTGAGATTTTTCTAAGATTTCCGGGGCCCTTCTGGGGCCCTCTTGAAGTGATCTCGGGCCTCTCTTGGTGGGGTCTTCGGCTCTCTTGGGGCCGTCTGGAGGCTCTCCCGAGAACGTCAAGAATTCCAGACAGCGAAACAGGGAAATCTGAGATGTGTCTGACGTTTTCGGAGCACCCTTCGAGCCCTTTTGGAATTCGCCTGGGCTCTTCTTCGACGGCGACGCCGACGCCGACGGCGACGCCGACGTCGACGCCGACGCCGACGCCGACGCCGACGCCGACGCCGACGCCGACGCCGACGCCGACGACGACGACGACGACGACGTCAGCACGGCCGCGACGACGACGACGACGACGACGACGACGACGACGACGACGACGACGACGGGAACGACGACATGTTGCCAGGAACTTCAGCGGCGGCCTCGATAGCTGCACTGACCGGTGAGCAGGGGAAGAGAAAGTACGATAGTCTTCCTGCTGCTTTGGAGGAGGCCGTGAGCAAGGTCCGGAGGCGCAAGGCTCTGGTGAAAAGGCGGGGGACAGAAGGCCCAGCTCTTACCGGAGAAGACCTGCGGCAGCTTTGCGGGGACAGTTGGGCGCGTGTGCAAGAGGCATTTCGCCGCCACCTCCGCGAGAAGGACGCGGACAAGCTTCAGCAGCTCAACGACTTGAAACAAGACGCGCCCAAGCGGGACTTCATGGCAACGGTTCTCTTAGAGTACGCAGGATCGAGTCATGCGCGCGCGCAGTCGCCAATGTGATAAATGCACGGCTCTTCTCAACTTTCCTGCGAAGCCGCGTCGTCGTCCTTGTCCTTGTCGCGGAAGCTCCCAGAAGAGTTTCAGCGGGAGTTTCGCGGGAGTCTGGGGGGGGGGCGTCCGAGGCTTCACGAAGGACCAGAGAAGTGGGGGGAAGGGGGAGCTTGAGGACGGGGAGGAGGATGCGAAAAAGGACAGGGCCGCCTCCCCCTCCCTTCCGTCCTTTGTATTATGTTTCGTTCTCTTCTTACTCTCGCTCTCCCTCCTCCCCCCTCCTTCCCCGCCGCCTCTTGCAACGTGTTCTGGTGGCAGAGGGCGACAGCCCAACATATGATATGGTTCACTTTCACGCGTGATGATGTGGCAGGGCCACTGGCCGTTTCGCACTTGCCAGCAGCGTTGCATCGCAGCAATTTTGACTCATCCGTACAACGTTGCTTTCCCACGTGACACGTCTCGCTATCCACGCAGCCACGCCGTCGAACGACATACCTTGCCAAACCAATCCTATACATTTCGGGCACGCGGGCGCCCGAGCACCCGGGCACCCGGGCACCCCGACACACGGGCACGCGGGCACGCGGGCACCCGGGCACCCGGGCACACGGACGCGCGGGCACCCGAGCGCCCAGGCACGCGGTCGCCGGGGCCCCCGGGCGCCGTAAAATAGTCATATACCCCGCCCACGAACCATGTGAAAGGAAAAGGAGGGGGAGGAGGGATGAGGAGGAGGAGGAGGCGAAGGAGATGACGAGGACGTGGGGGACAGCGCCTCGTCTCGGAGCGGCGCCGTGCATCCTCTGCTGGGCAGCGCTCACGACGACGACGACGACGACGACGGCGACGACGACGGCGAGGACGACGCCGGCGACGACGACGACGACGACGACGGCGCGACGGTGGCTCGCATGGTAGCGTGCTGAGCTCACCTGGCAGCTCGCATGGTAACGTGCTGAGATCGCTGCGTACGTGCCCGACATGCTCCCCATTAGCCAGTCTTTAACCTTCTGGAGCCCACCGCGGCAGAAACGGACAATGAAGGAACCGACGACGACGACGACGACGACGGCGACGGCGACGACGACGACGACGACGACATCGTCAACGACAACGACGACGACGGAGACGACGACAGCGGCAGCGACGGCGACAGCGACGGCGGTGGCGGCGACGACGACGCCGCCGACGACGACGACGACGACGACGACGACGGGAGCGGCGGCGACGGCGACGACGACAGCGACGACGGCGACGACGGCGGCGACGACGACGACGACGACGACGGCGCCTCGCATGGCAGAGCGGTGAGTTCACCTGTCGGCTCGCATGGCAACGTGCTGAGCACCTCCAGGACGGGAAACGGCCACTCTGGGAACCCTATGAGGATCCACCTCGCCGACCTTACGTGACAGCTCCGTTCTGAGTACCGCCTTGCTCCCCCTCCACAAGACTTCGCAGGTGCCTCGCGTGGGCGCGCGCTGTGAGATCGCCGCGGAACTTTCTCGCATCACATATCACCATATGTCCACCCGCTGCCAGGGGATATCCCGCGCAGCCACCAGGAGGGAAACGGACGCACTGGGAACCTTATGAAGACCCACCTCCTTCACTTTGCATGACAGCTCCCTTGTGGCATCCCCCCCGTGCCGCGCAAGTTCCCTCAGAGCTCCCTCGCGCGGTCATGACCCGAGCTGCCCCTGTAATCGGATAGGCCTACACTGGATCCCTGCTCCTCCTCCCGCTCTTCTCCTCCTCTCCGTTCTCCTCTCGGCCCTAGACGTCGGCTTCGTTTCTGCACCGGGGCAACCATTCTAGTGATGGCGAAGGCCCGGCTCCGCGCATCGCGCGGCAAGAAGCACGCGCATTCCAGGTTGGAGTTGACGCAGAAAGCTCGGGGATACAGGAGACGCACGCTGCAGGAGACAGCCGAACACCTCGCACCAGCAGACGACACATCCGAGTCCGCGCGCCACGCCTTTGAAGATCCACACCAAGGTGCGCGTCCCCGTAGGGCGATCGTCATGACATGCTTTCCGGCCTCCTGGCCCCTGCCCGCGGAAGCGCCGTCGTTGCTGCGAAGGATCGACGACCGCTTCAGCAAGTTCGGCCCCCTCGACTCGCCGCCCTTTCTTCATGCCGGGCCCCCATTACACACTACAGTTACGTTCCAGGATGCATCCGTCGCCGTCTTCGCAGCGAAGAAGCTTCGCGGCGTAGACGACCGGGCGTGGCAGGAGATTCAGAGATGCGGCTTCCGTGAACCTGCAGCGTACGAGCGCTTTCATGTGCAACTCCTCCACTGTGACAATGACGGCGCCGCTTCGGCGCCTGACCTGCTTGCGCCGGGCGCCATGCCACAAAGTGCCGCGCATGCAACAAGCGCGCTCCCGAGTGTCGGCGGCCGTGGGCAGCTGGCGCACATGACCTTCCCCACGCGCCGCGGGCACTGTGCAGACGCCAAGTCCATGGTGACGGCGCAGGCCAAGGACGAGCACCACGCAGTCGAGAACACCATCGACTGCCTCTGAGAGCGGCCATGTAAGGGAGCCACTCTTCCCGTGCCAGTGCCACGCGCACTCCGCAACCACCAGCTCACAGTCGTCGCAACACGATGGTATTTTCAACTCCAGAAGCGCCCCACTCCGTCCCTGTCAATCTGTTGTCGAGCCCTCGCGGCGCCATCCTCCCCCCACCCCCGCGCCCTCGTCGCCCCCTTCGGGCCCCGCGCTGCCGCTTCCGTCTATGCGTCGTCGCCGCCAGACCCTGCCCACGCAGCGTCGGGCTCAAGCCAGCCTCGCTGCCCCGGCACATTCCGCCTACTCTGGGACACCCGCGGGCTCCAGGGACAACCCTGGGCCTCCTGCGAACCACCGCGGACATGAACCAACTGGAGTCGCTCAATGACATAAACGTCTCGACCAAATGTCTGAATTTGCGGCTGCGCCACCAGTGCGAACGCACGACCAAGAAGGAGCTCGCCATCTTCGGGGGGATCTTCGTCTCAGACACAGGCGCCTACGTCGCCGGTGAAGCTTTGGTCTTTGGGGGCGAAGGCAAACGAAAGCCTGTGCTGGAAACGTTGCGAAAGAAGTGCGCGGGCGGAGCCGCCTGGGACATCAAAAAGTTGACGGCCGCGAAAAAGAACGAGGCCTTCCATTCTAGCCCACATCCTTTCACCCTCGCCTTGAACGACAGACGCCTGCTGACGGAGAAGCTGGGCAACAAAAAACATGCCGACAAGCTCCCCGCCGAGATCGAGCCGCCGATGACCGCGTCGCAGGTGATGAAGCTCTCGAAGGGCCAGCTCGTCGACCTCACCGCGCTCCTCCACAAGAAGAACGGGCCCGGGCAGTTCAAAGGAAAGTGCGCGCAGGATTTCTTCGTCTGCGACGACAGCGGCGCCGCGCTGAAGTTCACCTTCTGGGAAGAGCACCGGGACAGGGCCAACGAGTGCAACGAAAAAGACACCGCATACATATTCGGAGTTTGGTTCGCGAAGGACGCCGACGACGAAGCGCGCCTCGCTGCGACGGATGCCGCAAGGATCTTCAAAGCTTCCGGCCAGTTGGGGCGCGCCAAAACATTCGCGGCGATAGATTTCGAGTCTGTTGAAAAAAAACGAGCCTCAGCTTCAATGCCGGTTCCCGGGACTTCACTGAGGGCCCCGCAACCGCGGCGTCCGTCGGGGCGCTGGACCACCTGACTTTCTTCAAGGAACCGTTGCCCGACCCCTTGTGCGAACTCTGCGGGTGTCTGGTGGCCCTGGGCACGGTGGGCGCGGACTCCTTGCCCACCAAAGAGAAGGAACGGATATGGGCGAAAGTCTCTCTGACGGATTGGTCGGGCACCATGTCCGCCCACCTCGCGGAAGAAGCCGCGCTCCGCCTCTCCGACGCCACCAACAAGACAGAGTTCATGGAGGCAGCGGCGGCCGGCACCATAACACTCTCCCAGGCTCGCGTCCGCGTGAGGGTCGCCGCTCCGAAAGTCGACGAGAATTCCCGAGGCCGCTCCCAAGGGCCCCATCGTTTCCATGGCTGCCGCGCTGCCCCGCTCCTTGGACGACCACGTGCCGCAACCGGTCCTGCCCAATGACGACCGCTTGTTGCCCGCGTTCCTCGCGCGGGCTTCGACGTCGGCAACGGGGAAGATCTCCGTCACCTGCCCCGGCCAGCCGAAAACGTTCCTCGCCTCAGGCACGGGGCGTTCCCGTACACGCATTGCCTTCCAACCCCCTGGGCGCGACAGGAACTTGTCGAAACGGTCCAAAATCATTGCTCCCCTCTCAAGGGGCCGCACTTTGGGTCGACGCACCCAGAAGCTCCTAAAACCCGCCAGTCCCGGCGCCTAGACAGCGACCGCGACGCCTTCTCCCATGCCCCTGTGTCCTTTACATCGGCCCAGGCATCCTCGCTGTCGTGCGTGGCGTCCGGGAGCCCGTCGCGACGGCCATCGAGGATGGGTTCCCCATCCAGAATGCGGTGGTCGCCGCGGCGGACAAGCCCACGGACGCCCAGACATGGGCGGCAGCCACCGCCGCCCCGGTGGCCAGACTCACGCGCTACTCCTTGCCGAAGAACGACGTCGCTCTCGCACGCATCACCTGCGTCGACACAATGCAGCGCCACCTTGCCATCGCAGACATGTGGCGCTTGCCAGCAGGTACCACCCCTGAGAAGCGGCTCTCCGAGATGAACGACACGTGGGCGTCTCTGCAGACGCCTCCGCTGACCCTGAAACGCAAGGCCACCGAGCTCCAGCCGGCGCTGGACACGCTGATGGGCCCCGCGCACAAGAAGCACCCTCCGGACTTCGGTGGCCCCTCTGAGCCCGCGCCGCCAGCGTAGAACCCGCGTCAACAATTGCGCGCTAGATGCCCCGCCCACCCGTGCAACCCGAGCAGCACCTCGATACCACACGTCCAATGCGGAAGTCCCCCGGGCCCACAACCCGTCATTCTTTGCTCCCCCACCCCCCCCACTCGCTGACCCCGCCCATGCACCTCTTGCGCGAGAACCTGGGGCCGCAGCGCATTTTTGAAACGCCCCAAACCACACCCCGAACCCAAACGGACAACACGGGTACTGTTATTTTATCATGGCACCTGGCGCAGCATTCCTGTGCCAAAGCATTCGTCCCCACTCAGTCTTCCCTCACTCATGTCACGCCGCGCGGCAAGCCGCAAAGTCCAGGCCATCGAGGCCATCGAGCTTCACTGACATTTTTAACGCCGTCTCCTGCCGTGGCAGATGCCACCCGGACGCGCGGGGCCGTAAGCCGCCGTGATAATTACATTTTCCATTGCGTCTACTGTCGCAGGCGCTCGCGCAACAAAATCATACGCTGATATGCCTGCCTCTTCGCCCCTGCCGAATTGCAGTCCCCTCTCTCTGTCTCCCTCTCTCTCTCTCTCTCTCTCTCTCTCTCTCTCTCTCTCTCTCTCTCTCTCTCTCTCCTCTCCTTCGCCAATCTCTCCGACACCCTTGACAACCATTTACTGCGGAGGGCCGCCGGAGCGCTGGCAACGACAACGGCACGCGTGTCAAACAGGGCCTCGCGATAGTCGGATACGCTCCGACAAAGCGTCACAGCCCCAAACGGACAATGCGGGAACCGACATCATGCGCTCTATGATCGCCCTCTTCTTTGCTGCTCTTTTGCTCGCAAGCCAGGCCCACTTGTTCGCCAAGAGGCCACCCTTCGCCCCCCTTCCCAAGGTGTCTCGCATGGTGGCGTGCTGAGCTCACCTCGCTCCTCACTCGCCAGCTCCTTCGTTCCTCACCTCCTCCATCCGTCCTCAACATTCTCGGGGGGCCCTACCACTTCCCTCAACGAGATAACCAAGACACCACCGTGAGCTGTATTATTTATCTTTTTCCTCCTTCCAAGATTGCCCCAAGAAGCCCTTGGACTGCCCAAAAGCGCCCAAGGCGGCCCAGGATGCGGCCAAGACGGCACAAAAGGGCCCCATGACGGCACCAAGAAAGGCCCCAGAGCGGGACCAGGAACAGAAAATCCCAGCCTTCTGCCTCAAGAGAGCCTCAGGATGCCCCAAGAGACCCCCGAGAGGCCCCAAGAAGCGCCCAAGAGGCCCCCAAGAGGCCCCAATAGATTTCCAAAAACACCAGATGGGCGCCCAAAGCTGCACCCAAGAGGCCTCAAAACAGTCACCCAGAAGCCACCGAGAAACCAACCACGATTATACACATTTCTTCGTCGGAGGTCTTCCCAGTCGTCTAATCAAGCCCGCAACAGGCAACTCCTTCCTTGCCCCAGCCACTCTCGCCAATCATCCCCGCCTCCATTTTCAGGTCGGGGTTCGTGACAATATCAGGTGATTCCCATATTCCAGTCTACTTTAAGCGCCTTCCTACTTCAATGATTACTTGGCTTCACCTTTTCCGTCCTCTTCACGGGGTCGTACGGAACCCAATCTACTTTCAACACCGTTCTTTCATGTTTATACCTACTTCTTCCGACCGATGGGTAAGAGTGACCCGTCGCCGGAGTGACCTCCTCCCCCTCCTCCTCTTCTTTCTCCTCCTCCTCCTCCTCCTCCTCCTCCTTCCTCCCACGCTTCGCCCCCTTCCCTCAGGGGGCGACGACGCCCCTGCCGAGCTTCGCAGAGGGTAAGGGGGGGGGATGGGGGTGGTAGAGGGAGGGTGGTCCTGCCGTGCGCCTATACAGGGAAGGGATCCCAATAAGACAGATCCCCTGAGGCGGGAGGGACAGGGGGAGGGAAAATGGGAGGAGGAGGAGGAGGAGGAGGAGGAGGATGAGGAGGAGGACGAGGAGGAGGAGGAGGAGGAGGAGGGAGGGAGGAGGAGGAGGAGGAGGAGGAGGAGAGGAGGAGGGAGGAGGAGGAGGGAGAGAGGAGAGGAGGACGATACGAGGAGGAGGAGGAGGAGGAGGAGGAGGAGGAGGAGGAGGAGGAGGAGGAGGAGGAGGAGAGGAGGAGGAGAGAGAGAGGAGGGAGGAGGAGGAGGAGGAGACGACGACGACGGACGACGAGGCAGGAGAGGAGGCGGAGGAGAGGAGGGAGAGGAGGAGGAGGAGGAGGAGGAGGAGGAGGAGGAGGAGTCGGAGAGACGGAGGAGGAGAGGAGGAGGAGGAGGAGGAGGAGGAGGAGGAGGGGAGGAGGAGGAGGAGGAGAGGAGAGGAGGAGGAGGAGGAGGAGGAGGAGAGGAGGAGGAGGAGGATGGAGGAGGAGGAGGAGGAGGAGGAGGAGGACGACGACGACGACGACGACGAGGAGCAGGAGCAGGAGCAGACGGAGGAGGAGGAGGAGGAGGAAGAGGAGGAGGAGGAGGAGGGCTCTGCTTTGTTCGCGGCGGGGTTCTGCGTGTGCGCGTGCCCTTCGCGGCGCTCCGTGGTGCGGCGCCCTGCGCGCCCAGCCCGTGCCTGTGCCGGCCGCCTGCCCTGCTCGCTGGCCGCGGCGCCTCCTCGGCTTGCCGGCCACCCCGCTCGCCGTCCTCCCTCTCCCTTCGGCGGCGAGCGAACGAGTTCGAGGTTTTACTGGGTAGTCGAAGGCCAGACTGTCAGATCGGATTGGGCCCCAAGGGCCAATCTGGCCTGGCCAAACTGGATGATCTGGGTTACTCGCCGGACTGGATTCGCGTTGGCTCCCTGGCCAGATTGCCCCCGTCTGCCATATTGGGCCTGCCAGATTGGCGCCAGATTGGCTTCGACTACCCAGTTTTACAGGCGATCGCAAACAGGTTGCTCGCCGTGGAGGGGCAACGGGGCCTCCTGCTGGGGGAGCGGGCCCTCGACCCCCGGGGCTTGTCCCCTCCCAGGCCCCCTCGGGCCATGCGGGAACACCACGGCGGGAGGTCTTTGACAACCTTTTGGCCTCCGCTACAAGGCGAAGGCCTTCTCAGAATCAGGCGATCGCAGACATGGATCAAGGGGGCGTGGATTAGCGACGGGCCCCGTTTCTACTGGAGATCGTGGATTCCGCCGCCGAGCGAGGCGGCAACGGCCGCATTTTGGGGAGGGCACCTCCCCGGATCCATGGATTTGGCGACCGCGTGCCAAATCCATGGATCGCTAATGCATGTTTGCGCGCCCCCGAGTCTTCGGGCGTCTTCGTCATCTCTGGGCGGTTTTGCGGCCTCGGGATGCGTTCCAGCGGCCGCCGGAGACCCGATGTGTATGACCCAAGAACCAAACTCGGCGGCGAGCGAGGGGGGGCGGCAGTGAGCTGGAGAAGGCCTTCCCAGGAGGCGGCGGGACCTCTCAGAGATCCCCGCGCCTTCTCTGAGAAGTGTGTTTGGGTGTCTTCGGGGGCGGCGTAGGCAACTTCCCAGGAGGCCAGGGGGCTCCCGAGCCTTCCGAGAAGACCCGCCATCCCTCCTTTCCCCCCCCCCCCCTCGCCTGCCGCCGATGCCTCCCTCCCAGGCTCGCCCCAGCTCCCCCTCCCTCGGGGCCCCTCCCCTGAATCCCGACGCTGCAAAGGACGCTGCAAAGACACTGCAGCCTCGCAAAAATCAGGAGGGAAAAAAACACACAGACACAATTCATCGTCCATCCCCAAGAAAATGTGCGAAAACATGGGATGCGGGAGGGGGAAGACAAAAACCCAGAAAATATGGGAAAATATGTGGAACGTTCTGATTTGTGTGCATTTGTTTGTGTGTTCTGGGGCCCCTTTTAAAAAGTCAAGACCAGAGCCCCGGACCCCGTCTTCCTGCTCCCCCCCTCGCCTGCCGCCGATCCCTCCCTCCCAGGCTTCCCGCAGCTCCCCCTCCCTCGGGGCCCCTCCCCTGAATCCCGACGCTGCAAAGGACGCTGCAGAGACACTGCAGCATCGCAAAGAGTCGAGACCAGAGCCCCGGACCCCGTCTTCCTGCATCGTTTTTCGCACCGAGTGCGGGCAATACTTCTGTCTATATCCACTGCAGTATGGAGTTTCGGGCTCCCTTCCCAAGAAACATGAGGCGCACTGGATATGGACAGATTCGCCCCCTGGAGGCTCGATTCTTATCCAGATTCAGTGCGCCTCGGCCTTGTGGCGCCGCTTCCGAAAAAGTCCAAGAGGCACTGGATATGGACATGAACCTTGCCCGCACCGAGTGAGCCGAGCCGAATTCTTCGGGCAGCCGCAGCGCAGAGAGGGCCCCGGGGGGCCCGGGCCTTCGGGCGAGAGAGCGCAGCGCCGGGACCTCGAGGTCGGGGCCCCTCCGCCTCGCCCCCCCCCGGCGCGCCCGGCCCCGCGAGACGGGGCCCCTGTGGCATCCTTCCTCCTACTCCTTCTCCTCCTCCTCCTCCTCCTTCCTCCTTCCTCCTCCTCCTCACTCCCTCCTCCTCCTCTCTCCTCCTCCCTCCTCCTCCTCCTCCTCCTCCTCCTCCTCCTCCCTATACTCTCCCTCTGTGGCACGGACGGGGGCGGGGGGCAGGTCGGGCAGATGCCCGGGCAGATGCAGGCCGTGCCGGTGCCGCAGGGGCAGGGGCAGCCCATGCAGGCCCACGGCGCGCCGGCCGAGGGGCCGGCGGCGGCGGCGACGAGGGCGACGGCGACGGCACGAGGACGTCGACGACGAAAGCAACAAGAAGGAGAACTTCTACGACGACGACCTTCGCGACCCCGCTCGCGACAACGATGAAGCCGACGACGAGGACGGCAAGGGTGACGAGGACGCCGAGGACGCCGAGGGCGAGGACGTGGCGCCGAGGACGGCGGCGGCGTGGAAGACGACGCCGCCGATGACGACGACGACGGCGGCGGCGGCGACGACGACGACGACGAGGACGACGACGTCGACGACGGCGCTGGCGACGACAACGACGACGATGACGACGACGGCGCTGGCCAC